GGGGCAGAGAGGGAGGGAGACACAGAGCCTGAAGCAGGCTCCAGGCTCTGAGTTGTCAGCACAGAACCCGATGCGGGGCTTGAACTCATGAACTCCGAGATCACTACCTGAGCTGAAGTCAGATGCTTAACCGAAGGAGCCAGCCAGGTGCCCCTGAAGCACAGAAGTTTTTAATTTTGGTGAAGTCCAATTTACCTGGTTATGTTTTTGTTTGTATTTTTGGTGATATATATAAGAAACTATTGCCTAATCCAAGGTCATGGAGATTTATTTCTATATTTTCTTCTAAGAATTTTACAGTATTCATATTTTTTATCCATTTTGAATTAATTTTTTTTGTATGGTAGGAGGTAGGGTCCAACTTCATGTTTTCAACTTTATCTAGTTGTTCTAACACCATTCTTTGGGAAGATGATTCTTTCCCCCACTGAATTCTTTTGGCACTCTTGTTAAAAATCGGTTGATCATAAATGTATGGATTTACTTTTAGACTTTTAATGCCATTCCATTGACCTATGTGTCTATCCTTATACCAGTACCACACTGCATTGATTACCATAGCTTTATAGTAAGTTTTGAAAGTGGGTACATCCACTTTCTATGTTTACCTTCCAGCACACAAAGCTGAGATGTGGTCCAAGTGGAAGGGCCTGAGTAGAGGGATTGAGGGCCTGAAAGGTAAGGTAGGTCTTTTGGACTCAGAGGCCTAATCTTTTCTTAACTTTTTTATTTTTGAGAGAGAGAGAGAGAGAGAGACAGAATGTGAGTGGGGAGGGGACAAAGAGAGACAGAGGCAGAATCCTAAGCAGGTTTCAGGCTCTGAACTGTCAGCACAGAGCACAACGTGGGACTCAAACTCACCAACCCAGAGATCATGACCGGAGCCCAAGTCAACCAACTGAGCCACCCAGGCGCCCCTCGGAGGCCTAGCCTTTTAACTCTTGTCCTGCCGTAGCGCTGTGTAACCTTATGTAAGTTACTTCAGATTTCTGTAAGTTACTTCTCTGTTTCCTATTCTGTAGAATGAGGACTCTGGGCTACTCGATTGTTAAAGGATTTTGTCATTTTCATAGTCTGGAGGTGTGGGAGACTCAGCTTCTATAGGCAAAAAAGATCCCTGACTTGATGGCAAAGCATTCATTAGTTTTTCACTCACTTGGAACTTAGGTATGAGACAGGAAATATACCAGATGATTCTGGATCATCTTGCCATATCAGATAGTAACAAAGCTATCAAAGACCTCTCAGGTCATACCTAAAGGACTCAGGAGTGAATGCGAAGAGGCTTTTACTGGCCAAAAATGGGACATCAATAGGGATAATAAATATGACAGAATGAAATACATCAAATATATTTAAATTCATGAATTCATAATGATGCTTAAAAACCTTCAAGTATTTGGAACTTTTGGATTTTGAAATCTCTAAGCAAGAGAACCCTAGGTCTCCTTCTCCCCTTGGCTGGGTTTCATGGCTGCACCATTCTACCCATTCCACCCTACCCTAGATCTCTATGTCCTTGGGGTCTGGTCCACCCTCTAGGCAGCTTTAATCACCTCATTATTCTGTGTTCATCTCTCTGGAAAAGGACTAGGAAAACCCCAGAGTTGTTGGGGGTGGTCTATACAGCACTACTTGCTGACTGAATAAATAAAGATTCACTCTGATGTGCACCATTACTTCCTTTGCTCGCAAGTCAGTAGCTTCCATGCGTTCTCTTCAGTGTGCGGGTTCTGTTATTATGTATTTTCTCAAACAAGAGCTCATGGATTTTGGGGGGCTTAAAAATGACTTTTTACAGAAGAAGTTGTGGCCAGTGAGGCTGTGGGGTGGCTGATTAGTAGGGACCTGGCTTCCAGGCCCTGCTCCTGTCTCCTCTCTGTCTTTCCCCTCCGGGCCTATTTCTTTATGTTTAAAAACAAAACATGGAGGAATGTTCTACTGATATATGCAAGGATGTGTGTTGTGCTAAGTGAGAGAAGCTGGACCCAAAAGGCCACACACTGTATGATTCCCATTATGTCGCTCTCTGAAAAAGGCAGAACTATGGGGACAAAAAACAGATCAATAGTTGCCAGAAGCAAGTGGGTGGGGAGAAGCGATCAACAATAAAGAGCCACAAGGCACTTTTGGGGGTGATAGAATTACTCTATCTTGATTTTTGGTGGTTGTTACATCACTGTGTAAGTTGGTCAAAACATAGAACACTGTATCCTAAAAAGAGTGAATTGTACTGTGTATGAATTATACTGCAATAATCACAAAAATGTGCAGCACGCTCACACACTAGTTAGCACACGTGTGCGCGCGTGCACACACACACACACACACACACACTCACCATCACTATTTAACTAGAAAATCTCAATGATCCCTCTCAAGTGCCAGGATTCACTGGTTCTCCCCTGGGGGTCCAGTCACGGGCAGGGCAACAGGAAGAGATGGCCAGGGCCTCATCTCATTATAAACTTCCCTTCCCTGATTCTTCCTACCCTTCCCCAGCTCAGAATAGTGCTGTGATGTAATGTGCGAAGGGGGGAAAAAGTGGCTTCCTCTGTGTGGTTGGCCATGTTACCAACCAAGCCATCCCCTCCACGGCCATCTGTGTGTCCGTGTGCATCCTGAACGTCCTTGGAAGACAGGCCCTGCCCACAGCCGCTCATCCTAGGCCTGAGGTCTGAATCATTGGCCTGAAATGGACTGTTTTGGAATAAGAGCTCAGGATCCAAATCCCAGTGAAACAGCCACAGAGGCCTGTCACAAGAATGGGAATCTAGATTGAGAATATGGATTCTTACTTCCATTTTCCATCCAGGGCCTGAAGGAGGAGCCCCCTAGCCTTCTGCTCTGCAATTTACCAAGGCCTAACACAAGATCGTTGAGACCATTCAGGTGACACAGGGCAAGGGAACCAGGCCCTTGCTGGGAAGAAGACAGCAAGGAGCCTGACACAGGCACCCATTTCATGAGCGCTTACTATGTGCCAAGCAGAGGCTAAGCCCTCTGTATTCATTCACAACAACTGTAAGATTTTAAATTCTTATCCTTGTTTCACAAATGAGGAAACTAGTGCTCAAACTGAGGATGTGGGGCTCAGCCTCTGCGATCAGGGGCTGTTCCTCTCTTTTGTCCGCTGAGATAAGCCAGACCTAGCTAGGCTAGCTCCAAGGCTCAGAGGGGCCTGAGCCTGTGTTTTAAGGCAGCAAAAGCAGAACAGAGAGTGCTGTTCCAGATGGAGTTCATGCTGAGCACCACTCCCCACCCCGACTCCTTTAGGACAAGCCAGACCCGGGATGCCTGGGTGGCTCAGTCAGTTAAGCATCCAACTTCAACTCAGGTCATGATCTCACAGCTCTAGGTTTGATCCCTGCGTTGGGCTCCGTGTTGACAGCTCAGAGCCTGGAGCCTGTTTCGGATTCTGTGTCTCTTTTTCTCTGCCCCTCTCCCCACTTGTGTTCTCTCTCTCTCTCTCTCTCTCTCTCTCTCCCTCCCCCTCTTTCTCCTCCCCCTCTCAAAAATAAACATTGAAAAAAGAACAAGCCAGACCCTATAGCATATCCTTGGCTAGGGAGTCCTGCCTCTTAGTGTACGGGGTCAGGGACAGATCCTGTGACCCCCTGTGGGTACTGAAGGGCTGGGAGCAGAGAAGGGGCCCAGCTGTGTGCACTGGTCCCAGTAAGGGAAGCCAGGAGTTCACGTGGGTGCTTCTGCTCAGGAAGGCAGATGGAGGGAAAGTGTGCCATCAGCGCTGTGTGGCCAGTAGGGGACCTGCCCCTCAGAGGGCCTCTTGGTTGCTGTTTGTCCAAGCCACAGAGCCTGGAGGCTGCCACATCCCAGAGAAGGCCCTAAGGGATGCCCTGTTGATCCACCGGAAGCTGGGACTAATGAGCAATTGGAAGCTGGCACCAAGGAAAGGAGAGCTTCATGTCCTTTGCGCCAGAAGTCCCTAAAAGGGTGTGGGGAAGATTCCCAGGTGGGCACAGCTCTTAGTGTTATAACTGGCAGCCCAAATCCCCACCTCTACCCTGGACCTGAACACACCTCTGGTCTTGGTGGTCAGCAGGATACACAGGCACCTTGTTAAAAGAAGATTCTGGAAATAAGCCAGATGGCTCTGGCGGGTAGGAGGAGTTCTGGGTTCCCTGGAGGTGGAGGCCTTGATCAAGGAGGAGAGGAAAGCAAGGCTTTTCTGTGATGGGCCAAGGCCTGATAGCGGGGTACACTACAGACTTGACAATGCAGGCACCGGGGCAGGTGTGGACTTGGACCATGTGCGACAGGAAGTCCTGCTCTGGGAAGTGGCCTCGGGGTTGGCTCCCATGCAGGTGTGACTAAAGGCACATGCCTCTAAGATCATTGCTACTTTCAGGAGAAAAGTTTCTGAAGTGGGCTGCTAGTGCTGGCCTTGTTGTTAACAGGGGGATGGCCGCACTGTGGCTCCTTTTTACCTCGTTCTTGCCTTCATCTTGTCAACCTGACTTTCAGGATCTCAGAGCCCCACTGCTTCAGTGTTACTGGGAGATGGGTTTGTCTGTTGCTCGGGAAACCAAGGTTCCCTATAAGGAGCACCATCTGTATGCCGCAGACTTCAATCTTGGGACTTTATTTAAGGACATCAGAGCGGTGTCTGGCCACTGCCGATGTTTGTCAGGTTACTGGGTTTTGTGGGCTGAGCACAAACAAGGGGGCATAGAGGCCACACAGCCAAGGAGAACTTGGCAGGGTCGGGGCTCTAGCCTTCCGGTGACACCATTGTCCCAACCTACCAGGATGAGTCCCACATCCCAGAGATCTGGCTTTCCTGAGCTTTTCTGCTCGGTAGTGAGGGGGAAACAGACTTGTGTGTGTGTGTGTGTGTGTGTGTGTGTGTGTGTGTGTGTGTGATTATGGGCTCGGTGCAGGTGGGGAAAGAGTGAGGTGGTGGTATTTTTTTATTTCTAGCAGTAAAGCCTACCCAATAAACCCCCAAACCAAGGAGCCACACAGAATTAGCTGCATTATAGTGGGTTCAAGTCATTTATTTTTAGACTGTACCAGCATGTTTGGTTCTGGGGTCCAATCCCCAAATTCCAGAAAAATAAACTAATGAGAACCACATGCACTATGAGAAGGCCATTCCGACGTGTCCGTGATCATGCTGTGATCGGGCATAGAATATACAACTGGAGTCCTCCCTGAACGGCTGACAGTAGCTGGCTCTGAGCCCTCCTTGGGACTGGGGAGAGGGCCAAGACCGGATCATTTGGACCCTGTCCCTTTAAGGCCCCGAGCCCCTTATTGCTACATTTGCTACTTTGCTACTTGATGGCCCCTGGGCCTTGCCCAAGGGAGGCCTTATCACTGGGTGGTACTAATGAGTAGGTTGCTGGCATCAGCCCTTGCCATTGTTACGATAGCACAGAACTCTTTCCAGAGGGTCCCAGGTTGAGTTATCAGGGACTCATCTGACCACTATTCACCCATGCCACACCTGGTCCTTGCTGCATACTCCACTCAGCCAGCCTGTGGGAGGCTGGTGGCCCATTATCTTCTCCCACCCCTGGGGCTTTCCAGCTCCTAGACCTTGGAACACCTCTCTCCAACACACTCTGCAAGGTCCAAAGACCAACAGGCTGCTATCCTTTCCAGCACGGGGACAAGGCTTCTTGGTGGTGGCTTCTGAAGCTCATGCATTTGGAGCACAATGGGAGGGGCGCATTTTAGGAAAAACATCAACTTCCGCAAATAGCAAAAAGGCCAGATGGGTGGCAGGCTCCTGGTTCAATGGCCTGTTGGTGAGGTAGTTTGAACACACCAGCAATCCTGCCAGGAAGAGCCCCTCCTCCCCTCCCTGGACCATGTACCCACATGTTCACCGGTCTAAGCGACAACGCAGAGTTGTGAGGGGCCCTCTGGGGTGCTGGCCTGTACCTGACCCTCTCGGCCTTGGTGGGCCTGGAGCCCTGCTCAGCTGATGGCACTGGTGGGCTGGCCCCCACTGTGCTCCTGGGGTACGGCAACACTTGACAGTAGAACAGAGCATCCTTTTCTGCAAGGGGTGGACCTCTCCCCAGCGAGAGTCCTGCTGCTTGGGCCAGGCCCTCTGGCTGCCGCTGGGCATTTGCATGTGCCAACTTCCAAGTTCTCTTCTTCCCTTGAGGCAAAGGCAATCTCAATCAGATGTCCAGTGCCTGGTACCTGTGTACCTGCCCCTGTCGTGGCTGCCCCGAAGCTTTGACTATGGGGCCACCAACATGACATTTGTCCAGTGAGCCTTCTACAAGCGGAGTCCCAGGTCCAGAGACTGTGCCCAGCAGGGAAGCTAAGGAAGCTTCTGGAGGCAAGGAGACCTGCTTTGCTATAGAACGGCCTTCAAAAGTCTAATCGGTTTGAAGCTTTGGCTGTGTAGACCGGGCCAGTGGGGAACTGGCAAAGACCATATTTTCGAAGTGTGCTTGCATTCTAAGGTCTGCACAGTAGATGACCTTGGCCTGGCCAGCTGGGTAGAGCCACCCCATCCTCCCACCCACGTTGCTTGGTTTGATCTACTTGATCTACTGGGGAGCACGTGGTGGTCACAGGACCGAGTATGCCTGGTGGGGAGGGGAGTTGAGGCGGCTTATTGCTCTGGGTTTGAATGCATCTGGAATGCCCTTACCCTTATTGAACCCACTGCCTGGCCCCCTCTGGAGGTCCCCAGAAGTGTTTGGAGACCTTCAGCCTGCACCACCTCAGGGGTATAGTCCCTCTGGCTCTGGGTGGGCCCTCTGAGGACCTCCAGGGTTGGCCAAGTCTCAGCCAGCATTGCTCAGGAGCTGTGGCTCTGGGGACCAGGGAAGCCAAACTTGCTCTGGCCACAGCCCATGGGGGAGGGCAGGGAGCAGCCAGGGCTTTGCCCTAGGTAACCGACGGCACAGAGGTGCTGCTGTTCTGGAACTTTCTTTGTCCATATACCCTGTGCCTTGATTGGCAGCACAGCTTGGTGACCCCTAACAGGGAGGAACTTCTTTGGGGCAATGCTAGGTGCAAAAAAATGTGGACTGCATTTTGGTTCAGAAAAAGGAGTCTTGTGTGAAAAGCAAGGAGATTAAAGAAAAAAAAAAGTCAGAATAAGGAGAGGAGTCAACCCCATAACATGGGATAGGGCTTCATTTCATTCATGTACTCATCAAGTCGTTACTGAGAATCTTCCAAGGGCCAGGATCTGTGCTAACGTTGAGTGCAACCAGGGCGAGGAAGTGCCTGACAAGAATTCGGATCTATCCACCACTGGAGACAACCTGAGGACCCAACACATGTCGTCTGCCTAATGTCTACTGTGCCCGGCAGAGAGAGCAACTACCGCCAGTGGGGGAAACTGAGGCATTGTGGTCAAGAACCCGCAAGGGTAAAACCATAGCCAAGGTTCCTAATGCAGTGGCCCTGCTATGAGGGATGGAAGGCTGGCGCCCTGGGGAAAGGGCCCCTATGGAATCAGACATGATGGCTCGGATGTGGGGTTGCAAAGATGGTCATGGAGTCACCCAGGAGGTGGGGTTTGCAAACAAGCTTATGAGACTTTGGTCACCAGCTGGTGAATTTGCCTACATAAGTAAAGAAATACCAGTGATCACTTTTTGTTTTTTGTTTTTGTGTTGTTGTTTTGTTTTCCTTCTATGTTTGCTGTTTATACACTCCCCGGGGAAAAATTTCACCTATGGCCAAAAATAGATCGAAGGAGGATAATTCTAGCAGGTGGAGTGAGTGTCTGAATTCAAAAACATGTTGCTCAATACCGCTCTGTCTGAGGACTCACAGGAGTCATAATGATGAGGACAAAAACGGGGAGAGTAATGGCTACCGTTTGCTAAGCACCTACTACGGGTCAGGCACCTGACTCGGTGTTTTACATATATTACCTCACAGCCAACTGGCAGATAATCGTTTTGACATACACACGAAGGGAGTGCAAGTGGGGTTTTTGCAGGTTTTTCTTTGTGTCTGCTTTTCCCCTTGACGATCAACTTTGTTTAGCGAGTGCCCTTGCTGGGCTGGCAGAGAACCATTGGTCCTGGCCTAGGCCCTCTGGAGCAGATTCAGGCCCAACTTCAGACACAAGTAAGACCTGTACCAGCAAGGGCCCGGCCATGCCCGTGACCCAGCCACCTGCCCTCACCCCGGGGGGGCTGCCAGAGGGGAGGATCCCAGTGGCCCCCAAGTTCACGGCCATGTTTATTTGGAGTAAAACACGAGGGAACAAACCAAGGAGAAGGGGCAACACCAGAATAGATTCGGAAATAATAGATGTTTCCAAAGATGGTCAGGACCTCCACGGCTGTTTAACCACAAGCTCTTTCACGGACACCGGTGCTTCCTGTGGTGTCGGACCCTGGAGGCCCTTGACCGGACAGGAGGGCAGCCCCACGCCCGTGGGGGCCCCGCAGAAAGCCGGCCTGCAGGGGGCTGAAAGAACCGGAGGTGGAGCAGTCCGCGGGGTCGCTCGGCTACGCCGCGACGGGGCCAGGTTGCACGGAGGAGGGGGGGCTTGCACAGACGCGGGGCGGGGCTAGAAAGGGGGCAGTCGGGACGCAGCGGCTGTCGCTCTAGGGGGCGCTGTGGGCGCACCGGACGCGGGGCGGAGGCGGGGCGTAATACTGGGTGAGCTCGCGGCCGGCGGGTCGCTCTTACGTCTGCCGGAAGGCGGGAGCCCCCAGACAGAAGGAAGAGTGGCGAGAATAAGAACATGATCTCAAGTGAGAGTCACGACAGGAGCCCCGCCAGGTGTTGTGCCCCGAACGAGTTAGGGCCAAGGACCTCCTCGAGAATGGGGTGTCGGCGCACAACTGTACAAGGAAGAGAGGGTTGTAAACAGGGGTCTCTCCAGGGCCGACCCCAGGCTCTGTGGACTTTTTCTGTACGGTGTCCCCGGGCACCCACCGAGTCTCCCCTCTGCCGCCCGTCATCTCCCTCACTCCTTCTCTTTCACAGTGACCAGATCTCCCCGTAGGGAAACTCTGTCCGCGGATGTGGAGCGTCGCCGCCTGCCCGTGGGGTCGTCGGGCCCGGGCCCTGCGGCGGGGACCGTCAGGAGGACTGCATCAGGCCGGTGAGGCGCTTGCCCGCCAGCGACTTTCCCTGCAGAGACAGGCGACAGAGTTGGCACGCACAGGTGCACACACGCACGCACACACACACACACACACAGACAGGGACAGAGACAGAGAGCCAGACAGGTGAATTAATTGTTGCCAGAGCCATGGGGGCCAAATGACTTAGCTACCGAACCCTGTAGATTTCTGGGTTTGGGAGCCTTGACCGTGGCACTTGGAACAGGCAGGGCTCTGGGGCAGGTTGGGGAGCCAAGGTGTGTTGCTGGTACTTTTTGGAGTGTGGGGATTTTACTTACCCCAAACCAGGCATTTTAACTCTTAGGTAGAGTGTCTCTTAATGCTTGTGGGCAGCTCCTGAACTTGATTTTATTCAAATGAGGAAGGAGAAGGTAGACTGGGGAGTAGGAAGATGACGGAGGTGGGTTGACCTAAATAGGTGATGGTTAAGGATCTGGGTGATTGGAAGCTAACAAATGAACTAGTCTTAAGAATGCAGAAGACCTCTGATCCTGTCTGAAAGGCAGGACTGAGCCCTCCTTGGGAGAGACACGCAGGCTCTGGGCCCTCTTGATAATGGGGTTCTGGGACTGTGGAAATACAGGAGCATTCACCAAGGTTTGGAGCCAAGTGGGTGAGCAGAGGGTGCTGGAAGCCCCAGGCCAGTGCACTCCTGCCTGACCTGTGTTCCTGGCTCCTGTCTGTGGTCCCCAGAGGCTGAGCTTGATGACCCCCACATCAGGATGTCTACAAACTCTTCACTCGTGACCCACATAGCAGTTCTTGAAAATGAAAAAATGGACCTAGCTGGTGAGGCTTGGCATAAGAGGCAGAGATCCTGAGAGACCAATTCTTCTATTGCCCCCGGGGCTGTGTGTGGCCAAGGAGCGTCAGATGTGGGATATTGGGGACCAATGGATGGATGGGGAGGAGGATGGGCGGGGCTCATTCTGCTTATTTTCCTTGACACAGTCTATGCCCATTCCCTGCTCACCCTCTGAAGAAATCCACAGCAGGGCAGCTTGGGTGGCTCAGTCGGTTAAGTGTCCGACTTTGGCTCAGGTCATGATCTCACGGTTCATGAGTTTGAGCCCTGCATTGGGCTTTCTGTTGTCAGTACAGAGCCTGCTTTGGATCCTCTGTCCCCCACCCCTTTTTCTCTGCCCCTCCCCCCTCAAATAAATATTTAAAAATAGACAAGAGAAACCCACAGCATCAGGAAGGGATCTAGAGGCGTGTGTGGCTGGACCCAAGCGGATTGATCACTGTGTCTGAGAAAATACTCAAACCCATGCTATTATCGACAGCAGGTCAGCAACACCACCACCATCTGCAAAAGGGAACACATGGTCCTCATCAGCATGGGCTGTGGTGTTTGGTCGTGAGAGACTGCAAGGGCCAGCAGTTCCTCATGTTCATTTCCAAGGGGGGGTGTGAGGGCTCATCTTGTTTACTGGGTTTGGCTGTGTGCAAGCTGGATGTAATTAAAAAAAATTGATCAGGTTTGTGAAGCCTGGTAGAGTACTCAATACACTGACTGATTGATGAATTGATGGATAATGGGTATATCTAGTAAATGAACAAGGGCTGGGAGTTTGCTGGATGCAAGACAATGTGTCATCTGGCTTAGCTCCCCATAGAGGGACACGCCAGCTTGACTTTGAGAATTCCAATGGCATGCAAGGGAGCTTGTCCAGAAATGGAATTGCCCTCAGGCGCTATTGGAAAGCCTGAATCTACATCCCCTTCCTCTTTTTCCCCTTCTCTATCACTCCTCGTTTTCATTAGTGAGACAGAACTTCATTTTTTCTCCCCTATTTTAAACACACACACACACACACACACACACACACACACACACACACAGAATCTCCCCATCAGCAACCTTATCTGAATCTTCAAATAAACTAAACTCAGCCTGCAGCAGGATACATTTCTACCAGGGTAAGGATTTTTTAATCAGATTTTGTTTTTAATCCTAGAAGGTTACAGTGCCAGTCTTGGCAGATCACTAAAAGCAAGGTGGCTACTTGTCTGGGCAGAGTGGGTAGGACAGAGCTCGCAGCCGGCGGAGGCTGACCTTCAAGGACTGGCTCCAGCCCTGGATTCTAGGGCACACACGTGCCTGGTACTCTCCTTGACTGCCCTTTCTTAGACGGAGCTCGAGGCATTTGTCATCCTGTTGGTTCACCCGGGATTGTGGCTTCTTGACTCAGGCCCGAAGGCAGGGAGTGTGGGTGTGTGTGTGAGGTCCTCTCTGGGGAAATGTGTTTAGGGGCTGACGGGTTTAGGGGCTTCCTGGTCCGAAGGTCCTAATAAACCTCCCCCGAACGCTTTACCCACATCCATCCCTGCTCATGTGAAAGGCACTGAGGAATTCTGCTTGCTTCGTGGTGCTGTTTATTGCTGCAGTAACCACACACCATATACAGGCTCCTCCCCCTCTCCTTCTGTCCCTTTTCCACCAGGGCAACAAATTACACATTCTGTCACCAAATATATATGTTCTGGCTTTGCCATACATGGTATTTGGGGCTCTTAATTAGCTGGAGGATCACTGAAAAAAAAAATCACTAAAGCTTCTGAATAACGGTATATTGCCAGTGCCTATGTTAAAAGCCCAGAAACAAAGAAAGTGAGGTTTACCAGGCGTCCAAACCCTCATTACAGCTTCTCCCTCATTAGTGAGGTCATTTTGGCTGGAGAGGGGGCTGTAGGTTGAGGGAGGTTGGAGATTCTATATCTGGAGAATTGTGTGACTGTCTGTTTTAGGTGCCTTTGGCCCGGAGGTCCCCCCACCCTCTACCCCTCCCTGTTCTATAGAAAAGCCTGGGCTGGGCTTGGAGGCACTAATTAATCTCTTCCTGCTTGAGCCCTGGAGCTCAGCCTCATAGCTCTGACTCCAAGGACCTGTGGCCAGCCGTCAATGCCGTCTCCTCCCCCTCCCCCCAACTGCTTCCATTTCTCAGGACTTCTGAGGCCAGCCTAGAGAACTTGCCCTGAGATTGTTCCCAGCCTCTCAGCAATCCAGGTGGCGTTCCTTGGCATTTTTATCTCCCTCCCCCCGCCCCAGCCCCGCACACATTTTTCAAATGCCAGTTCTGCTGCTAAAGGAGGTCATGAGGTTTCGGGTCGGCTCAGGGGGTAGCTCAGTCCAACTGCAATCTGTCCGCTACTCAGTGACCTCCCGGGTGAGGCTGGAAGGTGGTTATTCATGCAGGACACAGGCATGGCTAGATGCCTGGCCTCGGGCTTTGGGGAAGAAATCCTGCAATCACACTGGCTCAGCTGCTGCCTCTCTTCTGAAGAGCTGAGGCTCCTGTAATTTTCAGGGATCAAAGTGAAATCTGACAGCAGAGGCTACCTGTGTTCAGGGACGAGCTGCCCCAAGCTCTACGCTGCTAGGGGCTTGCTGGAAGCCCCTGAGCTACCTGCTCTGTCCGGAGAGAAGAGCTCTCCCGCCCTGCACCCTCTGGGGCTCTTTCCTCCCTCTCCTTCACCCCCAGCCCTGCCTCCGATTGGATCATTCTGTAGGAAACACTTAGGAAGGGGATCAGTAATTCCCCCTCTGCCTGGCATGTTGCATCGTTACAGGGGAGGCCATTTTTTTTCAGGGTGTGCATGTGTGATGTTCGCTAGTGCTGGTCATTTGGGAACGGATCATGGTGCCAGGAAACTGCAGCCAGCTCAGCCTGAGGCCTTGGCGTAGCTGAGCGAAGCAGCTGAAGGTGGTTGAAAATGCTATTAGCAGGCAGCCTTTGTCCAAGTGAGAAAATATACAGTGATTAAGAACTGAACTGCAGAAGGTACATTCCAGAGACACCAAAGCTTTGCATACAGACAAAGTGCTTTTCACCTTTGAGACATTTGGCAAAGTTAATCCAATGGAATTAGAATCCTTCAATGTGATGGACTGGGTTCACACATATCCACCCTCCACCCTGACTAATCACTTCAGCTCTGTGGCCATCTTGATGGCTAGAAGTCTGGAAGAAGGTGGTCATGAAATCCTTTGTTTCTAAAAGGAAATGCACAAAAGGAATGGCGCCCTTTTGTGCAGTGCTTTAAGGAAAATCAACATGCTATTTGACATGCTGTGGCTCTGTGCATTGCACTTCCAGATATTAATCAACAAAGCATGCACGATCTGGGTTACCAAGAGCTTTTGTCGCTTACTTACCTGGGCGACTGATGCTAAACTCTTTGGCTGGAAGGAGGGCTGTGGCTCTGAGAGTAGCCCTGGGGTCAGGTGGCATATTGGGGGCAGCAGAGCCAAGCACTTGGGACTCAGGCAGGACCCTTTTCAATGTTAATGGAGCAAGAACATCTGAGCCGTTGCTGAGACTCTCAAGCTGATTTTGCCCAGATGACCGAAGACCAAAGTTATGATCCCAAATCCCCTAAGTCTAAATCCACGTTACTATGGGGATAGAAATCAACTGTGGTTGCCTCTGGAGGGGAAGGATGGACTTGATTGGAAAGGGGCATGAGGGAACTTTCCAGGGTCACAGGGTGTAGGTTACACTGGCGCATACCTTTGTTAAACTCACTGAACCACACATTTCAGATCTGTTCATTTGCTATATGTAATTACACCTTAAAAGAAAAAAAAGTAGGGGAAAAAATCTAGCTATCACGTCTCTGCTGTGAAATTTCCCACTCCTTATACTCTTTTTCAGGTGCTGGCCCTGTGACTTTGCCCGTTGGCTCAATCCAGTCCTTCCCACCCCAGGGTAGGAGGAACCTGGGTTCCTCTGCTAGAGCAACTTGAACTTGCAATAGGCCCGATCTGGAGCACTCTTTCTAGTCCATTGATCCAACCTGACCACTTTGTTGTGACACATGCATTTTTCATCCTTGCTAATGAAAACAGTGCTGATTTAGGCTCACCCAATGACCATAGTAGGCCTCTGTGGGAGGCCCCAGAGCTGTCTTCTCAAGGAGCTTGAGGGTCACCCATGCGTAGATGACACTCAGGCTCATACATGATGAGTGTGTGTACAATTGTGGCCCTGGGGGGCCTTGCTGAGGAGAGCAGTCAGGACCCTAAGAGCCAGGCGGGAAGGTAAGGGTCATGGCTTGGGCTCCGCAGGAGGGGAGAAGTCAAGAACCTGCCTAACTTCATCGGGTGACTCTCCTGGAGGCTGGTGTCCTGGGTGCCCCTTATCCCCTGAGCAAAGCAAAAGGCATGATTTCAAAAAGGCATATGGGGGGCGGGGGGCGCCTGGGTGGCTTAGTCGGTTAAGCGTCTGACTTTTGCTTAGGTCATGATCTCGCGGTTCGTGGGTTCGAGCCCTGCGTCGGGCTCTGTGCTGACTGCCAGCTCAGAGCCTGGAGCCTGTTTCAGTCTGTGACTCCCTCTCTCTCTGACCCTCCCCTGCTCACGCTGTCTCTCTCTCTCTCTCTCTCCTAGAAATAAATAAAAAAATTTTTTTTTAAAAAGGCATATGGGAATTCTGTGACGTCTCCTTCTTCAGTGCTGTTTCAGACTGGGGCGACAGTGCCAGTCGCTTGGGGGTAGTTTAGGGGTCTTAGAAGCTGGCAGAGGACAGCAGGAAAATCCATCCTTAATACAGATGAGTTTCAAAAACTTTTTCAGCTCTTCATCTCTCACCTCATCTCTCATCAGCTTGCCCTCTGTTCAGCTTCATGGCAAGGTGGGGCAGATGAAAGGGGAAAACCTGGTTTGGGGACGAGCCAAAGATCAAACGCTTCTAATCCACAGCAGGGTGAGGCCAGAGCCACACAGGAAGGGGAGGGTGCTGCCGGCTTCCTCACTCTTCACTGTGGGGGGCTGGCACCTGTGGCAAGATCCATTCCCGGGGTCTATATTGCTCCTGGGTCCTTGCAGAGCTTTCTGATCCCTCTCAGGAGCTAAAGGGTATTTTATTTGGCTTTAATATATTCTATTTGACTCTTAAAAATAAGATACCACAAACATAAAACAATGCTCAAGTAAAAAAAAAGAGAAGTAGGAGAAAATTGAATGAATAATAAAAAGTTCACTGGCTAAAGAATATCCATTCATGTACATTTAAACCTGTTAAAAAATAAGTTTAAAATATGATTGCAGTAAAAATAATGGATTCTGCTGAAACAGCTCACTAACTTATGTACAGCAGTGTAAACTACCAGATTTTGCCATGTAAATGGTGGGTCTATGCAATCTACCAGTAGTCATATCTTTTGAAAGCAATTCCCATAAAATGTCATGGGGGCCATTAGTATGTTCAGACACCTTACTCTAGCCTAGTGCTTTTTTTTTTTCCTTAAGAATTTTTTTTTTTAATTTAGAAAAGATGAGCTGCCGATGTTCCTAACTACACTAGATGCAAAAGGACCAACCCATCCCATGATCTCCCAAGGGTGTTCTCTTTGAATTTCGAATTCCTGCCCAATGGAGTGGCATCACTATCCCAGGTACCCTCTCTTCTCAGATGCCTTCCTCTTCAATTAGCGCAGACCTCGGTGGTGACAGGGTGGGGATGGTCCCATTACTAGGGGTATAGGTTAGCTGCTGAGGGCAGTTACTAACAGCCACCTGTTGACTGAATATTGAACAACTACTGTGTGCCAAACACACAAGGCATTTTATAGATACTTGTGCTAATGTCCACACCATCCTGGCCAGTTATGCATTACTTTAAAGTCTGAGGATGTCTTAGGTTAAAGTCTTAGGATATATTATCTCAGGATAGAAGAAGAAACAGACTCCAACAGAGCTTGAGTCCCTTGCCTGAGAGCATACAGCTAGTCAGTGGTAGAGCTAAGTGAGTTGGCATTCATGAGCTATACACTTTTTACTTTGGTATGTGGCCATCAGTCTCAAGGAAAGAGGCAGATGGAAATGCTCAGAGTCTAATGGCTGGCTCCTCCGTGCCCACCCACATTAGGCAATCTCTTTGGGTACCACAGGGAGATTTTCTCAACCTCACTGAGAAAGAAGCTTCTGCTCCTGGACGTGCTTGAGACCCATCTCAAGCATTTCTGTCCTGAGGTTCTTCCCCTCATTACATCTGGGACTCCTGAGAAAGAAGGCGCCACCTTCTGGCTGGCAAGCCTGGCAGAGTGAGACTGGCTACTGCACTGAGCTGGGGCACCCGTCACCACTGCTTGGTGCACGTGGCTGTAGAGTGCACCTGCTGGACTGGCCAGGTGAAGCCACTCCTTCTGTTTGTGCTCTCATGTTATTGGTGCCGATGCCTCTGGGGTTTCCATAGCAACCATCCCAGGGAGGAGAAAAGCAGGTGTGGTGTTTACCTTTCTAAGCAGGGGCAGACAGAGCTGCCTTACTCCACTTAGAACCAATGCCAATTAGAACCAAGTCCCTAAATCAGGGTGTCCCAGCCAGACTGGGGAAGCCTTCTGTGGGTGGTGTTCCTGGCCCTCTGACTCTTGCCTCCCATCATGCTCATCACTTATGGGACTCTTTGCAAGGGCCAGCCTCTGCCTGTTAATTTTGCTGAGCGGTGGAGACCTTCTTCCATGGTCCCCAGCTGTGCAGGGACAAATCTGGAACCTGGCAGGCATGCCAGGAGTGACAAGGGGATAGCATCTGTGCCCTACACTGGTGGCACGATGCCCAGATTCCCCAGCTTCCTTTCCAAGCTGTGCATTTCCACTTTCCCCGTGCTCTTCCTGTGCGGGGGAAATGCGCCCCCTCCCCCATCTCTCCTTCCTCTGGTTCTGACTGAACAACTGTGACACCCTTTCTATACTCAGCTCACAGGGAAGATCTCGGTGGATTCTTGAGTGGCATGGAGGTAGGCATTCTACTTGCAAGTCCTCTTGGTAGTATGCCTTCCTGCCGCCCATGCAATGGCTTCCTCTTCTTCTGTTCCTCCACCACCTCCTCAAATGTACTTTGAGATCTTAGCTTTGGTTGACTCCAAGTCAGGCCAAGGTCAAAAGATTCAAGGAAACAGGGACATGGCTGTGTTGTTATTGGCAGAAACTTGGTGTTTTTTCCAAGTCGGACGTTCAAGTGACCCTTGACCATGGCTCTAGGGGAGAAAGCCACTAAAGTTTCGTGGAAGAGACAGCAGGAGGAATCATTTGCTTGGCAGTGTGTGACTCTTCTGCAGAACCCTGGGGACTCTAACTCGCCTCCGAAGGGCGCCTCTCATCTCCTACCAACATGTTCACCCAAAACTCATCCATAGGTTGGGGTCCTTGGTTAAGCCAGTTGCCAAAGCAGAGCCGAGAAGGCACAGGCAGTCAACATGAGGACTGCTCCGCCACTGCCCAAAGAATAATCTTTCTGTGAATGTTCATGTCCATTTGGACACAAATGCCAAGGCTGGCTTATTTATCTTTCCTCCCTACCAGAAATGTGCTCCAGCGGGCATTCATCACACATGTATCTCTAACCTGAAAAAGTTCAGCAGGGGGTGATGGGTCAAGCAGCATTTTCAAGAGATCTCTCGATAGAAACCTGGGTCAATGCAACTCCCATCCACTGAGAACCTTCTTACTTCCCTACGGGCCCTTTATACATGTTGCTGAAATGCTATTGGTGCCCGTGGGACAGAGTGCCTTCTCCCCTGATGGTCTAGTATGTGGAAATGTGAGACTTCCAAGTCTTCTGTAGGACTTGGCCCTAGGCCACAGAGGAAGGATTATGGAAGCTGTAACTGGAAGAGGAAGCCTAAGGATGCTGCTGTTGGATTCCAACGCATCTTCAAAGGCAGTGAGCATTTCTGTCCTGTTCTGCTAGGGGTCCAGGAGAAGCACGTTACAGGATCAGTACCTAAAGACGTTATCTGCACATCGCCTCTGAGACAAGGGATTTATCTTCACATCATATCTGGGACCCTGGCTCCTTGTCTCTTAGGAAGAAAAATACCATGGGTGCAAAAAAGATGGGCAGAAAAATGGGGACACCAAAAACTAGGTGCTGCTGTTCCAGGAATGAGGGTGTGGGAACAAGAGTGATAGGCAGAGACAAGGCCACAGACAAACAGATCACCTCTTCTGGATTTTGGAGCACCTTCCGTGCAGAAGAATCCCCCAAAAAGTTAGGGTGTGGACGCCGGGATCACTCACCCACTGCTGGAAGGAAGCCACCTCGGGGGTGCAGTGCAGCGGCCATTCTGACTCTGCGCCAGCAGCACTAGGCAATTGTGTTTTTAAGAAGGGAAGTGAAGAATAACTTATCCAGCTGAAACCATGAATACCTGTGGCTTTAGGGGTGCCCCTGCCCAGACATGCACACAGCTGCAGGGAGCATGCAATCCATGCGCGAAGGCACATGCGAGTCCGCAGCGTATGTTACTTGCGTACCATACGTTGAACACAGAGGCGCGGGTCAGGCAGGCAGCGCAGGCACCTGTGTGGACAGCTGCGCACACGTTCGTGTGCATGTTCACACCACAGGCACGTACACGAGCATCTCAAGCAACCATGTGATTGGCTGCAGAGCTTTTCATGAGGCTCTGAAGATGCCAGTCTTCGACAAGCACTGTAAACTTAAGAGACATATCTAAAATCTAAATTCTTCCCAGGAAAAAGCCATGTGTGTCAGTGGAAATGGCCTCTCTGCTTCTGTTTCTGCCAATCTTACAAGCGGAAGCGTGTACCCCAGGGATCTGGTTTAGGAGGGAGTTCAAAGCATCCCTGCCACTAGCTTCTGACTCCTCCCACAAGCCCACTCTGAAGTCTGTGGCCAGGAAATACAAGCTTTGGTTAATCCGGCAGGGGGAGCAACCAGACTTGGGGAGGTTGTGCTGCTCAGGGCGGCTCCAGGCAGGCAGACAGTGGAGAGGTGAGGGTTTCTGGGAATGAGGCTTCCTTTGTGGGGAGCACTGTGTGTGGGGGGGTGCTGCATTTCATGCTCTGATCATGGAGAGAACTCCTCATCTGTTTCTGGAAGCAGAAGGTGTCTCAGACTTGTGCACCTCAGTAGAGGGGTGTGCCTGCCAGATCCTGACAACGTATGTGACATTTTCCGGGTGGCTGTCCCCACCCCCAGCACCATACAGCTCCCACGGTCTCCAGGGAAGTGCTTAGGGGCCCACAGGGCAGAAGCTGACCTGCCAGTTGCCTTCGTCCCTCCATTCCCGGGGAAAACATTGGCTCTGGACTTTAAAAATAAGCCAGTAGTTAAGTCAGGCAGAGAAGGACAAATATCATATTTTTGCACGTATAGGAGGATTAGGAGGAACTTGACGGAGGACCAAGGGGGAGAAGAAGGGCGGAAATGGTGGGGGAAAGGGAGAGAGGCAAACCATGAGAGACTCTTGAATGCTGACAAAAACTGAGGACTGATGGATGTGGGGGGGAGGGGGGATGGGCATGGAGGAGGTCACTTGTGGGTATGAGCACTGGGTGTTATGTGGAAACTAATTTGACAATAAACTATTTGTAAAAAAAAAAAAAAGCCAGTAGTAATAGCTACCATATATTGAGCCATTCTAATGAGCCGGTCACTGTTAATAACTAGATGTGCTTTGGACACATTGTCATATATGAGATACACATGTACCTGTCCCCACTGCAAATAAATATAATGGTACTTACCTTGGAGAATACTGTTGGAAATTAAGTAAGGTAATAAGAGCTCAGCATGGGGGGGGAGGGGACAAACAACAACATAATAATAAAAATAATAATACAAACGGTTCTACTTGAGACGTATACTACACTCTGCTAAGCACCAGGTATATTTTTTCCCCCATGTAATCATTTCTGTTTATCTCCCTTTTATAGATGAGGAAACCAAGTCTTAGAGAAGCTGCTAATTGGTAGAGATGGAGTAGAACCAAAGTCCCTCACTGACCAAGCTCAGCATGGTGTGGACGCCCCCAGTATGTGAACCCCCAAGAAATGGCAACGACTACTATGATGCCTTTGTTGAGTGCCAGCATCCACCCTGTGCAGTGGGCACTCTACACCCATTGGGCAAGCGAGGAGCTTCCCTGGGGTCTTATGCCAACATCAGGTGGACAGACAGGATCCAGCCAAGGCTGTCCATCTCTAACCCAGCTGACTTTTGTGCATTCTGCTGGGCACCAAAGGGACCTTGTTCTTGGGGCCAAGGGAGCAGGTTGTCTTCAACAGAGGATGAGAATGTAGTTAGGAAAAATGTCACTGCCAAGTTTCAACAACATTTGACCTTGGGTGGTTGGTACTGCTCAGGCACACCCCAGATGTGACAAACTGGCTATTGGTGGGGTGAGGAGCAGTCTGGACAGATCCTGTTGGTCAGCCAGGAGGAGCCTCCTAGAGCACAGTCCCATGGAGGCAAGATGCACCTCACTGTGCAGTTATTCACGAAGTCCTGGGGGGTGTGGACAGGAAGAGGACCCTGACACTAAAGCTGAGCAAAGATGCTGAAGGCTGGGGGCTCCGGCGACCACCACCCCACCTGCACTCCTTCCTGGTGATCCTCCCTATTACATCTTACAGCTCTAGAAACAATTTAAGAAAAACTATCATTGAGAGCTAGCAAATGATGGGCATTAGAGCTGTATCATTACCAAGGAAACTGCCATCAAGTATGTGATCACTGGGCTGTGATCACTCAACACACACTAATGGTTGACTCCTTTACGTATTTAGAGTAATGGATGCCCTGGAACCTTCTAGTATCATCCAGGACAGAAAATCCACCAGAATTTCCTGTCTACTTTTGCTATAGATCATAAGGTTGGATTGAGTTTTGTCTGGGCTGCTCTATCTCTACTTTCCCGCTTAATCTGTTCTGACATAAAGGCCAGGCCCTCTATCCATGCTTGATGGTCTGTCTTTTCCCATTAGGCATGGGGGTTCAGATGCACTCTGCTCTTGGCGCAAACGAGAAAGGCCAGGAACATGGCGTGGAAAGGTTCTCCAACCCTGTGAAAAAGCATGCCTTCTAGATCCCTATCCCTTTCCTTCCCCACCTCTTACATTGGGGCACTGATGGTGCCTGCTAGAGTTTTAAAGGTCTGTCTGAAGGAACACAGTGCCAATCAACTCTAACTGGGTTTTCTTTAGCTTAAGAAAAATGTCTTATTAAAACTTTGCTGAGTTTATGGGGATCGCCATGTTTAATGAGAGGCCTCAAAGAATTTGAAAGCAAGAGATGAGGAGAGGAAAAAAGCCATAAGCTGTAATCACCATAATTATACAATCCCATGATGAGTTGGAAGCAGCCCTGGTGAAGCCTGAGAGAAGAGGGAGTGTCATCTGCAATCGTGCCGGTCTTCAGGACAGCTGGGATGAATGTGACATGAGAGCCCTTCCCTCCCTTGAGTTGGGCTGAAGAGGAGTCCCTGAGGGGGCACCAGGAGGGCAATTTCTCCTCGGTCTAAGTCCTCTAGGGGGCATGTTCTGCTCCTGGCCAGGTGGAGATGGTATTGATGCCAGCCTGCCCACCTGGCATCTACAACTGGCATTGTGGAAAAGGGCAACAGGCTTCCTTGTCTTTCCTGCTTTCAAAAAATCCACCCTATCTGATGTTGACAGGCCAAGCTTTCTCCAACTCAGAGCCACAGTGCCCCACGCACATGCCCACCTGCTGCGCTCAGCCCGATGGCACCACAGTCACTCAGCTGCCCCGTGCCAGCAGGTGCCTGTGTCCTCTGCTCGCTGACCTCCTTCCAGGCATTTGGGGGACAGAGTCCTGTTGTTGAGCTCAGCTGCAGCAATGGCAGCGATTGGCTTAAACAACAACAACAACAACAAGAAAAAACAACAACAAAAGGCAAGGATGACATGTGAAGGGCAGTAATTTCGCTCCTTGACAGTTTCCCTTGCTTTGCCTGTGTCATCATCCAGCTTTCCCTCCCTCAAGGCAGAGGTTAACCTGACTCTTACACCCCTCTCTCCCCATCTCAGCAAACTCCCTCTGTATGATCCCTTGTCCTTTCCTAAGGCTCATTTATAAACCATAGAATAAAATGTGGTAGGATCCATTTAACAAATGTTCGATGCATCAGAGGATCCCAGCTGAAGATGATAGAATGCACTGCAGAAGCCCAGTCTACAACACCCTTGGCCATTCAGTTTCTGAGAGTTTCCAGGGTGCTCAGTGATCCTCCCAGGGATGTATTCCATTGTTAGGGAGTTGCTACTATCATCCTCTAGTAGAGTGGCCCTCCCTGTGTCTTCTACTCATTTGTTCTAGCTCTGTCTGGAACTACCCCAGAAGGTCTGCTTCCTGCGGGAGACAAACGCAAATATATCTCACGATGGTTGTCTGGTCCCCTGAGGGGCTAGAAATCTTTATCCTACCTGACATAGCTTCCCCAGTTATTTTCTTCCAAAATTTCTCTAGATTGTTCAAGTTCCTGATAAAACGTGGGGGCCTTAGAACCAAGACTCAGCACAGTTTAGAGCGACACGATAATCAGTGAGATACTTTTTTAGCCCTTCCACTTTTGTTATTATAGCCTAAAGTAGCTTTTTTAAAAAAAAGGCAATTGTATCTTGCTTTTGCTTATATTAGGCTTATAGCTAACTACAACTCCAGATTTTTTTTTGACTTGGATTACAGCAAAGTCTATGAATGCCATCCTGTAGTTATGAGACTGAATTATTTTTAACATAAATTTTGTCTTGGTTAAATTTTATGTTGTTGTTTTTGACCCATCATCCCACCTGAAAGAGAGAGTTTTTGAATATAATTCTGGTATCTACCAAATGAACAATACCTTGTGGGTTGGGATCTCTGAACATGACTGACATGTTTTTCTCTTCATCTGAGTCATCACAAAGGATGTATCATGATAGGACAGGGCCGTGTGGCCTACAACCAGAAACTGCCTTTCCAGTTGACACAGATCTATAGAATTCACCCTCTTACCAGCCATTAAAATGCCATGAATATACTCGCTTTACCTAATTATGGGCAAACACAGAGAGAGTGCAGGTGGAGAGGGGGAGGAGCAGGGATGGATATTGCTTTCAACCTTAATGTCCTACCAGCAGGTCACAAATAATCATCCTTCTACAACCAGCCAGGCTGACAAAGGGGATGTGGAAAGTTCCTGCTAAATATTACACCAATGAGAACCATTCCTGTCTGGGGCTGTGGTGCTCAGGTGGAAAGGATTTGGCTGTGATTAGGAAGAGTGGCTGGATCAGCACCTGCTGGGCCCTGTCACTGCCGGGGTGGTTACACACTCCCAA